GTAAGCCTCCGCCCTCCGCCCTCTGCCAGCCGACTAGCCTCTGGACCCTCAAGGTTCCCCCCCTCTGCAGCTCCGCTCAACCTCAGAACAGGTATTCCCTCATACATCAGAAAACCTGCAGTAACTTGGATCAATACTAACCTCTCTGTCCCCCTCAGTGGAGGACCCCCTCATGACCAGTCTACCAACCAAGGACCAGTTCATTGTTTTGTGCTTCATTGTAAATAAACCTTTGAACTTTTTCTCTGCCTCTTGAGTGATCTCTGCATGTGGGTTAGACGCCTTGATCCCATCATGACAGTAAAGTCAACAAGTAATGTCAAACCATTACAGTTAAACCGAAGAAGGAACTCAACTAAACTTGAGGAGACTCTGCAAAAAGAAGGAAATAGATCCAGCAGTCCCTGAACAAGACCCTTCACTGCGCATAGAAATCCTTTCCATAAAGGTTACCTTCAGGATCAGTGACGGAGGGCAGCCCTGTCAGAGTCCAACATGCAGTGGGAACAGGTCTGCCTTAATGCCGGCAATGCGGACCAGATTCCTGCTCCACTTGTACAGAGTCCAGAACTCTCCTAGTAAAGGACTCCTGACTCCATACTCCTAAAGCGCCTCTCACTGGACACCATGAGGGACCCGGTTGAATGCCTTCTCCAGGTGCACAAACACATCGACTGGTTGGGCAAATTCAGATGCCAAGCTATATGTGGAGGCAAGCCTAACTATTTCTAGCATGTAATGCTCCACCTCCTTCAAAAGGTCCAGCTCCTTCCCTTCCAGCAAGCTGCTTGGTTTAAACGTCTTTATGAAGACTGTGAAAACAAGGCACATAACGTTGCCAGGTACAGCAGAGCTGGGACCCCACCCTGGAACCAGGCCAGGTTAGAGTTCATTGGCCAGCGCCTATCGGACGGCTTCTTCCTCGTAAGACCTGGCCGGGCCGAGTCTGAAGGCATGATGCAAAGCCATTCCCCATTGGGTCCATCACCTGCAGGATGAACCATGAGGGACTCGTGCAAAGACCATTGGGCAGCAGTCAGATGCTGAGGCCTCAGGGTCCCGAAACTTTGACACTTAAACTGGTGTTTAATGTATACATTTATATACCTTTGTATTGTTACCAACATCTGGTAAAAATGTCATGTCAGTAGTAAATCTAGAAATATATTTACTGAGAAAAATGGTGGTGTTTTCAATAATAACTTTACCAATTTTTATTTTTTCATAGTTCTATGTGGACAGCGCTGCAACAGTAGAAGTTGTGAGTTGAATGCTGTCTTCCAGCTTGTTGAGATCCATTTGAAGTCCTATTCTACAGCTGCTTAGGCAAATATAAATGTTAACTTATACTTATAAAGTCATAATATAAATTCCCTGTACAAGCTGGCGGTCTCCTTCGAATAAAAACAGAATAAGAATCATGCAGATATAAAGCCACAAATCAGGCCAAATTAATACACTGACAAAAAAACCCAACATAATTATTTAAACTTTTAATGGCAAGGGCTATGCGTTTTATGGTTGGAAGAAATCATCTGGATAAGTCTAAAACTGGTCTTAGAAAATATGTCTAATGGAAAAAAATCAACAAAAAAACATGCTCTTTTAAAGGTAGTAAAATCTTATGATTAATCACGGTACTGAAAGTAAAGGAAAAACAGTTGAGTGCTCTTATTACAACCACCTGTTGGATTGATAGTGTACTGCACTTTTGTCAGGCTTTCAGAGAAATGGGGAAAGCACACTGATGAATTCCCTGGGGTTCTTATAACCAATATAGTATACATCCTAGGGCTTTAAATGGGCATTTAATGGAAAAGGAGCGCTAGATTTTCTTCTCTGACTCCTTGTCATGTTCAAAAACATCATTTATAGCTAAACATCTTGCTGCTAAAATGGAGAGCAGCCAGTGCCCTGCTTTAAGAGCATGTAGCTGGTGACAATGGCATTAAATAGTCAATGCTTCTTGTGTGACCACATACTATACTAGTTTGAATAGATCAGATTTCTCATCGGTGTCATATGAAGCCTCCCTCTCACATATTCTGCTCCATAAAAGCCCCTACATTAAACCCAAATTTTTTTTTTTTTGTCCAGCAAATGGCTCAACATTATGAGCCAAACTCAACCACTTTTTAAAAATTAGACTCTAGGGGGCTTTTCAAAACACACCCCACAGCAAATTTCAAAATAAAAGCCTCCCATTGCCACTTCATCTACTGCCCTAATAACAGGGGAAAAGAGTGATTTAACGATTGGAAAGTCATCATGTATCATTGCTGGGTCTGACCATTTTCTCAACACACAACCCTGCTAGACTTTCAAAATAAGACTCCAGGGACCCTTCAAAATAAAAGCCTCTATATTATACTCGTGTATTAATTGATGCAAATGGCTCAGCATTATGACCCAATCTCCACCAGCTTGTTTCTATTAGACTCTTGGGACCTTTTCAAAACACACCCCAGAGCAAATTTCACAATAAAAGTCTCCCATTTACAGTCTAATACAGCATCTATTCACCCAATAACATGGAAAACCAGTGATTTCACATTTAGAAATGGTTTCTATATCACTGCTGGGCATGACCCTTCCCTTGACACACATTGATGGTAGACTTTCAAAATAAGACTATAGGGACTCTACAAAATAAAAGCCTCTTCCTTATGCACATTAATTCAATGTGCCATATGGTTCGTAGCTATGACCCAAACTCAACAAATTTCTTCAAATTATACTACCAAGGCGTCTTGACAACACACTTAAGTGCGCAGTTCTTAATGAAGCTCTAACATTTCCACTGTAATAAAGCATTTGCTAACCTCGTAAGCAGATGCTTTACTTCTGTCAACTTCCCGGTAAACAGAAACTTTTGGACTTTTTCTTCTGTTTAATGAACTTTAAATGTTTTCCTTTTAAGATGAGTGTGTTTCTGCCATTATGCTGCCAAAGGATTCTACCCTACAAAATCTTCAGATGATTCTACTTTTTTCTGCTGTTTGAAGTTTCTGATAACTTCCTATCACATTTTCATATGTTCCTCAGCTAATTTGTGCTTCTTTTCCTTCTTGCAGTTTCTTGGGCTAATTTTTATTTTTTTCATTCAGCAAAAAAAGTATTCCCACTTTGATGTTTCTCCGAAACAGCTTTTTCTAATTCGTTAATGCTTCTTGTGTGACCACATACTAGTTTGAATAGATTAGATTTCTCATCTGTGTCATATGAAGCCTCCCTCTCACATATTCTGCTCCAGGCTTTTTCAGTCTGATAATCTGATCTTTTCTCATTTAAACTACCTCCCCAAACTGGTTGCTTTAGACAGAAAAGTAGAATTTAAATAATTTGCAGAAGATTGTCAAACCAATTTCAGGAGTAAGTTGTCTTTTAATAAAGACTGCCGATTTTAAGTGAGAATTAAATCAGGAAACAAAAATGTGCAATAAAATTAAATGTAAAACAGGTATCTTAATGTATTATAGTACATATTAGCCTAGCCTCGTCTGTTCCTGTTTGTCTGTAACTCCATCCTGGAGAGAAATATAAGCTGTGCTGCTTCCATCAACACCTCAGATTATAGATGTTGGAGATTGGCCTGTTTTTCCAGTGTAGTCCTGTTTTTCTGACTGTGACTGGCTAGATGTGCTCTCTTCCTCCTCTGACATGTTGGTTGGCTCGGAGCTCGTCTGCCTGGCTGTGTGTTTCCTGGACGGGGCCGCCTTTTGTAGTTGCTTTTTGTCACTCTCCTTGTGTCTCCTTGAATTTCCGATATGTGAAATGTAATTCTTACTTATACAAATTGCGTCACTTTTGCCCATTCATGTTTATTGCGTCGTTACTTTCAGATATTCAAGATGGCATTACTCCTATCTAAAATAAACATTCAGGATGTCTAAAAATGAATTTCAGATCTCTGTAATCCGATTGACCAGGAAGAAATCATTTTGAGACATCTGGAATACATATTCAGTCATACATGCTCTCTTGGCTGTGTACGTCATACAGAAAGTTTTTTGGCCATCATGATGTTAAACTTTTAAATCCTGTGTTTTCGGTGGATTCAAATATTTTTTGTGTTTTATTTGAAGCTTATCCAAAACCTCTTTATCTAAATATAGTTTTGCATTGCAGTTAAAGTAGAAGAAAATTGCAGGTGTTCATTTCATTTAATTTCTTTGCCAAATTAGTTCCTGATGGGAAATAACATTAGTGTCAGTTTAAAACTCCACATAATGAAGATTTAAAAAAGTGTGGTTAAAGAAACCTCTTAGTGATATTCTGATCTTCAACTTTTCATATACTTTTAGACATCAGAGAAATAATCATGTCTGATCTTTTAAATTTTAATTTTGACCCCAGGCAAGAGCGTTTGCATGGGTTTGGGGAAACAAATAAAATTTTATAACAATAGGTCATATTCTCACAGCCATTATAGGAAAAAGCCTGATACTATTCAATTCATTTCAGTTTACTTATATAGCACCAGTTCACAACACATGTCATCTCAAGGCACTTTCCAGTTCAACCAGATCATACAATCAAATTGATTAAAAGGAAACCAGTTGATTGCAGCGACTCATTGACTCGAATGCAATCCCTCACACTAAGCAGGCTTGCTATCTGCCGACTGGGGTGTTCATTTTAGATAGGAGGTATACTAATAAAGATATCTGAAATGCATATCCGGCCAAGAAAAATATATGTTAAAATTAGCACTTAAAGTAAGTCAAGATTTGTAGGCATCTGAAATGTAGTTCTTACTTGTACAAATTTGATTACAGATTACTAAAAAAATATAATTTATACTAATAGAAATGCAATAAGTGATATCTATAACAGAATTCTGACTAGTAACATTGTGATTGTGACTAGGTAGAATGCTTCAGTGCTATCTCTAATAGAAATGTGACGAGTCAGCCTGCTTATTTGATGTTAAAATGGAGCCTCATTAATTTTTTCAATATTAGTCAAAATATGTTTTTAAGTATCTAAACAGATAGGCATTATTAAAATGTAGATATCTGAACTTCCAATTTAACTAGTCATATATCAATAGTTGATATATGTTATTATATTTTTACTAGTAGAAATATATTTTTGATGTCAATAAATTCGATTTCTGGATCTCTG